TTCGGGATATCAATTTCTAAATGATATTTAAGGATTGTTGAAATTAATGAAGAAATGATTCATCGGCAATCAAAATGGCGGAAGATACGAACGAGCAATTAATTTAAACTGTTAATGCTAACATATAAAAACATTAACATAAGATCCTAATACTAACATGTGTATCATTAAGTTGAAGTAAGTACTTCATATTGTTTTTATTAATAATTTATAACAATAAATAATTTCGCCCGTCGAAAATGCAACTCATTGAGTTCGTGTAAATAAATAACATCATACTGTAAGAAAGAAAATGTGTATATATATATTGTTTAAAAAAATAAATTAGGCTTCGAAATTTCGAAACGGATGAATTTTGCAAGAAATAATTTATAACATATAGTGTGCTTCTTTGCAAACAATATTTGCAAAAATATTTTATTGATAAATTAAAATTTTCATAAAATCGAGTTTACGGGATAAAAATAATTCATTCAGGTTGTAAAGACATTTGTAAGTAAAAAGACGTCATAGTTAATTATGTTGTTCATAACAATATTATATTTCGAGCAATTTTTTTTAATATTTTTAAATAGGTGTTAATAGTCAAATATGTACTAAATTTTTCATCCCAATTTCCATTAGTCGCTGTTTTATATTCCTTCATTGAATACCATTATCAATAAATAATTCTCGAAACAGATCTGGTAACATTACTCATATTTTTTTAATTCTAATTTTCCCCACTAGTAGTGCTGCAGTCGCAAAATCGGTACAACAGGATGTGACACGAAAATGGTAAGATTATATCGACCTTATTACCATGGTCGCGAAAATCCATAGTCATGCAATGGCTATTCATATACCTCGTTTGTGTTTGGCTATGGTTGCCATCTTGTTCTATACTGGATCGGTAACATTGTGATTGATATCAAATGATGTGAGTACTTTAAAATCTTGAAAAAAAAATATCTAACACGAAAATACAGTTTCGGGTGCTATCACAAAAATTTTCCCTTAAGATAGTCTTTTATCATCCATTGGCACTCCATAATTATCACTTATCGACGGAATTGAAATGACATTACCGACGCTAGATTCGGATGTTGGTTCGCAGCTATTCTTAAACCACCAAAGATGGCCACCACCAAGTGGCGCGAAAGGCACCTTCTGCGCGTTCGAAATGAATGGGAGTGTAACCGAAGAACGGGTCGGCGACACGACGATAGACCGGCCGGCACTTCGTGTACCGTCGTCGCGTTGTGCGGACGCGTTGTTCGTCGCTCATTCTCTCGTTCCTCTTCCGCAAGAATCCTCTTGAAGCATGACACTCTCGACTAAAACTCTACTCGAAAATTCGTGCCTGTGGTCCCGCGTTTTTCCTTGCAAGCAGCATCTGCATTTGAAACAACTCGTGTGACCGTCAAAGTGTCGTGCCAGTCGCCCGAAGAATACGAGATAATTCCAGAGTGAAGAGAGAAACAGTGCTTATTGCATATGATCGTATGATATTAAAAGTGTACAGTGTTCGAAAGAGTATCGACGTTCGGAAAATGGAGCTGTTACGACCGTTGGAGGGGTTCTCACGCTTTGAAACCGCCAGATATCCCACTCTTGGCTGGATCACTGGCGGTAACGATCTCTCGATGAGCGTTGCGAATTTGTGACGCTAGATCGGTGTTTCTCTCGCGTTCGGAGCGGCGCGGTTCGCGGTTTTCTCACCTTTTCGGCCTTTTTTTCTTTTTATTTCTCTCTCTCTCCCTTTCTCTCCTTCTTTCTCTCTGGTGTTATGTGTGAATGTGTGCCGGTTGATTTCGCTTGAGAAATCATGCCGTTCGTGCTGCGAAAGGTGGAGCCGCGTTTTTTGTGCCGCGGACACGTGCCGGCGGGATCGACGCCGCAGGGTTGGCCGGTCGGCGCCGAATTGGAGGCGGTGGCGAACGGCGCGTTGACCACCTCGTTGAAGCAGCTCGCTTCGCTGCTCACCACCGCCGAGGACATCTTCGCCGAGCTGACCACCGAGTTGACCGCCGTTGCCGATCGGAGCAGCAATTTACGCCAAAGGCTGGACAAGGTCGAAGGACGTCTCGCCACCGTTGACCCCAAGAAAGTGCCAGTCCGTAAGTATCGCGCCTGCGTCCTACCATACGCGCTCTCTCTCTCTCTCTCTCTCTCTCTCTTTCTCTCAACCCTTTGCTTCAGGATTCTCTTATCGGTGTTCTTACAATTAGACCGATAGCGTAACGATTTGTTACATCCTAGCCGGATGTAAACAATTTCTTCAAAACGTTTTCATCTTCGAT